AGTATACCTTGTATACCTTTATACAATAAAGGTCTATCTAATATCTAATAAGTTATCCATCTATCCAATTTCCAACAATTTTGTTGTTTTGGCATTAACTATAGCCTGGAGGAGTATAAATCATAAATAAACAAAACAATTCCCTGTGAAAATTTAGATCAACCAAACAAAATGCATCACACTTTCAGATGAACAAAACATTGACAAGGCAACTCTACTTAAATAAACATTGATGCAGTATCAATCATTACTGCATTCAGATAGGATGCAGTTCTCAATTCTTATTGCACAACAATAAGTAGGAAGGACAACAAAGGTTTATACAGAGACTTGTATGGTTCAAAGCATCCACCAGCACTGCTGAACTGTGATTGTTTCAGAATTTTCAGTCATTCTTCAATTTGTATTTAGTGTGTATCTGAAAAAGTATAGCTAAATGTATTTTGATTTTAGTGCTTTGTTTCAAAAATTAATTGCATCTATTTTATAGGACATTATGAAAACAGAATTTAATATAAGCAWGACTGATGCTGGCACTTTTATACATCCCTGCTATAAACTTGATCATTTAAATTACAAGTTTACCACAACTCCTTCTGCTAAATGTATAATGTTATATTGTTTTCTGACACTTCTCTCTGTTGTCACAGTATGTGGAAATCTCCTTGTAATATTTTCTGTGTTTTACTTCAAACAGCTTCATACTCCTACTAACTTCCTTATTTTGTCTCTGGCTGTTGCTGACCTGCTTGTTGGGATCATAGTTTTTCCTTTTAGCATGGCATTTTCTCTCAGTTCTTGTATGTATCATGAAGGTGTATTTTGTAAGGTAAGAGACTGCTTTGATATATTGTTTAGCACATGTTCTATTTTACACTTATGCTGTATTTCTGTTGACAGATATTATGCAGTATGTCAGCCATTAACATATAAATCTAAAATCAACCGTCATGTTGTTATTATCATGGTTGCTGTAATCTGGATTTTTTCTGCACTTATTGCAATTGCTGTAATGATACCAAGAACAAATGAAAAATGTCAGGAACAATGTTTTATTGATGTTTTCATAGCAAACACAGTTGGGTCTCTTTTGTCATTTTACTTTCCAGTTGTCATACTGTTGTGTATTTATCTGAAGATTTTTATTGTTGCACAGAGACAGGCACGAAGTATCCAAACTGTGATAAAACGTGGAGCAAATGTCAGTAAGATGGAAAGAAAAGCCACAAAGACTCTGACTATTGTTCTGGGAGTGTTTCTTATGTGTTGGACTCCTTTCTTTCTTTGCATCTCTTTTCAGCCTTTTATAAACAGTTTAATAGTAGTTCATGTGATTGAAACACTTAATTGGCTTGCACTGGCAAACTCAACAGTGAATCCATTCATTTATGCCTTCTTTTACAGCTGGTTTAGATCAGCTTTTAAAATTATTATTTCTGGAAAAATCTTTCATTGTGATTTTGCTAACACAAAACTGAAATGATTTACCAGTTCGGGTGTATAAAATTAGTTTTGAGATACAATCATTATAATCAAACAATAATAAATTCACTGTATTTTGAATTAATAAGCTTCATTTATTATTTGAGTTGCTTTTAAAGAATGGTGGTTTGAGAAGTTTGTACTGACGGGGAGAGAAAAGCTTGCAAAAAACAACTGCAGCTTGGAATAAATAACAGCTGCTTTTATCTGACAGTTTTCTGATTTTATTTCATTAATTTGATATTGCCAAACGTCCATGTTGTTGAAGCAGTGTTTTACAACTAGCTGCATACTATAAAAGCACCTTTTAAGTGAAATTCACCTAAAAAATAAACAATCCTAACTCTGAGGTTACAGCCATTCAAGCATTTTTAAAGCCACAACCACTGGTTTAAAATAATAAACTGACACATGAATGAACAGTCTTGTGAATCCAAATCACTTCTGAGAGAATAAACTACTAATACTTATATATTTTTCTAATGTCTCTCATTATAGACAGGTAACAGAATGCTTGCATTCACACAAAGTCTTCAGTCATCATAAACATATAAAAATTTTCCTAGCAGCATTTTTTTCTCCAGAAAAGGTACTGTACATCTGCATCTACACTAGAATATTGTTTTCTCAGTTATTACCAGACACTCTCTAAATATACATATACCAATATGCTCATGTACCAAACCTAAAAAAACCACTTTAGTTTTGTCAAAAATCATTCAGACTTCAACTATTCATAACTACAAAATGATACACTGGGTTTTAATGCATTGCTCTTGCTGCAAGTTAAGGTAAAATATTGTGGGCAAAGGCCATCATCTTTTATATTCACTCTTTTAAACATTTGGGCATAATAAAATTATCCAATCTTTAACAGGTTTAAAAAAATTATTCAGATCAAATCTCAAGTGTACAAAAACACAATTGCTTCCACCATGTTGTCAGTTAAAAATCCATTCATTTGTTCCAATCAGATTAATGTCTAGACTTTGGACCGTTGCAACACCTTGATTCATTTATCTTTTTCTGCAAGTCTATTGTGGTTTGAGTGCTGTGATCCCAATCAACATTTTAACAGTTTTACATCTCAATATTGTAGGGGTCACCTCAAGTGAAACAAACAAGAAAACTGTCTTGACCTCAGACCTCTGATGGGCCCTTTAAAGAGACAGAACTCTGTTTCGGTTGAACCTGAATTTGGGTCATAACAGATCATCTCAACTTTAAAGGGGCGTTCTATTTTTCTTAAACAGATAATAAACCGCACAATCTTCTTTTATTTGGTTTATTTTTCTCTTAACTAAGACTTAATATGCATTTTGATAATCATGAAACAATGTTTGTCAAGTTACAGGAGAAAAGAGGACAAATCTTTTCTCCCTCAATGTGATTTGATTTGATTTATTTATTTAACAGGAAAAAATTATTAAAAATCAAGCCTGACTCAGCATAATTGCTGTTTTACAGCAGGTTCCTGTTCTGCAGCACATAAAAC